ATGGAGCATGGGGCCTGTGACTCACACCCAGCAGGACAGTGGGAGTGTGGAGCCCAGTTCAGCCCGGTTCCATCACACAGGACTTCTCTTGGCTCATGTGCAGCTCCCAGGACTCACGCATCACCAGTGGGGAAGCCCCATGCAAAGGAACTGGCTACCCTCCCTGCCACCATGTGCAACTCCCAGGGCTCTGCTGGAAGTGGCAGGGAGCCTTGCTCTCTGCTTTCCAGTGGAGTCCCAGGAGCTGCATGTGACAACAAGGAGTGGGGCCAAGCCGCTGGCTGCATTGTGTGGGGCTTCCCCTCAGTGGCACATAAGTCCAGAGAGCTGCACATAAGCCACAGGGAGCTCCGTGTGGTAGAGGCAGGCCAGGCTGGCTCTGCTCCTTGCTGCCACATGTAGCTCCCAGAACTGGCTAGAGCCACATGCTGCTGAGCGGCTGCGCCTCAGGCTATGAGCCACCCTGAGGTCCTGATTCTGCTGCTGCCAGCAGCAAGAGCTGTGCGCCATGTAGAAGGACATGTGGGGGGTCCCCACATCCCCCCCACCCTCCCTCACACCCACACCCACACTTTGCCCACAGCCCCTCCACAACCCTCCACGCATACACATATCTACACCCCCCACACACACAGCCACACCCCCTCACAACCCACCCACACATCCCACCATACACACCTAGCTCCACCAATCCCACCCTACACACTCCTCTCACACAATATACAAAAGTAAGAATGTATTTTGGGGCTATTGTGCGATCACCTATATATATACTATGCACACATAAATCAGGACAAAAATATTTTTTGAAATAAAATTAAAATACGTTATATTAGATGTTTGACTTTTAGTATATGATTAGGTTTTTTGCAGTTCCAAGATGGCACCTGCCCTCCAAAGGAGTACTTCTGGGGGCAAGGGCAGGGACTTCAGGTGGCAAAGGTCAGGGGTTAGGGGCAGGACTTCTGGTCCCAAGATGGTGACTAGGGGGCTGGGCACCTATCAAGGGGCAGGGCTACCCTTGTGGCTCTTGACAGCTCACCAAAACTCATTAGACCACACTCCAGCTGAAATAATTGCCCACCCCTGGCATAGAAGGATAAACTTGTAATGAGAAGTTTATCAGTATTGTTTTCTTATTATTAGGGGTGCGATATTGGATCGGCACTGATATAAAGCAAGTTGACTATATTGGAAATCAGCCTGATGTGGCCAATAATTTGCAGCAGCAACACGCAGGCAGTGAGGGGCATAGTCCAGCATCTTGAAGAGTTGCCTGCAGCTGGGAAATCTGTTGTGGTGGAAGGGGCATGGTGGAGCAGATCAATGCCTCTGTGATGACGGAGAGAGTGGGGCTGGGGCTGGGGCAGGCGCTGCACACTCGGGGCAGGGCAAACACAGGACGGAGCTGCAGCTCATCCAGTGGGGGGGAGCAGCTCCCGCCACTGCTTACACCCTTAGAGGGCACGGGGGGGGGGGCATGTGCTCCTGGATCTGCGCAGGGCAGGGTGAGCTGTAGCTGGGGCCAGGGGCTACACCGGGCTCTTCCCAATGTGTGGGGGGGAGGGCTGGGCTGGGCTGCACTGCACTTGGGGCGGGTGCTGGGAGGAGTGGGGGGGCTACAGTGAAATTTGGGGTGGCTGCACTTCCTCTGTAGCCCCAAGCACAGTGTGGCCCAGCCCCATCCTCCCCCTCCTGCTGGGAGAAGCGTGTTCAGCCCTTGACCCCAGCCTGCAGCTGCAGCCTGCCCCGCCCTGCCCCATGAAGATCTCTGGGCACATTCCACCCCACCCCGTGCCCTCCCAGGGTGTGCACAGCGGCAGGAGCTGCTCCCCCCCTCACCCTCCTGGACAAACCATGGCTCTGTCCCCCTACACCCTTCTGGAGAAGCCGCGGCTCCATCCTGCACCCCACCTTGCCCTGGCTGGGCAGTGTCTGCCCCAGCCCCACTCCCTCTCTTACCACGGGGGGTGTTGATCTGCCCCCCTTCCCTCCCCCCCTCACCTTCCATCACAACAAACTTACCAGCTAGATGCCACTGTATTAGAAATTGGATTGGTATGGGTTGATATGCCTCCTTAAAAATTGGCTATCAGTATTGGCCTCCAAAATCTCTGTCAGTTCACCCCTAATTATTATTCAGTATATAGTTTGTGCTTTCATTGTGGTACATTATTCAAACCCTGATCTGATACAGAAGTATTCGTATCTTTATGTACTTCTCCGTGGCTGTGATTGCTTTTACTTTTCTAAAGCATTCTATTCAGCTCAAACATTAATTTAGTTACAACTTCTCTGTAATATGAAGGGATATTATCGTCTTCTTTTTATAGATGGCAACAGAAGGACAGATGAAGGTAAAAAGAAAGCAACAATTCTGAGATGCCTAGAACTTGATTTTTCAGATGACTTAGCATTATACAGCATTTTAGACGTTAAAAGTTGCCCCTTTTGACTTCAGTCACAACTGTGGGAGGTCAGCACTCCTGCAGGTCAAATTGCAGAATGTTAATTGAGGCACCAGAAAATGAAGAGCTCAACATTAGTTACCTGCAAAAGTTTGCTTTAAGCAACGTGCCTAATATCACCGAAGTACTCTGATCAAATCAGAGGTGGAACACCATCTCCAAAGCATCAGGCAATTATCATATTTACTTTAGTCAAAGATGATCCTAATTTTAAGAGCCCCTCCCCCAATAATTAGATTCTAAACATGGAAAATTTATAAATTTGTTATAGTTTTCCATATATAGGCTCTAATTATTGGACAGTTGTCTTTAATTCATCCCTCCCACCACTGCAGGAGGCAGGCAGTGGAAAGGCAGGTGGTGTGGGGAGGTCAAGCAACCTGCTCCCTGCTTGTGCCTGCCCTCCCTTCCTCCCACGGTTTCAGGGTCCCCACTCCCTCCAGCCTCTATTCCCCTCTTCCTCTTCCAGCCTCTGCTCTGTGCCAGCAGGTTTCATTCCCATTCTAACCTGGAGCATGGCCCTACCCAACCCTGCAGCAGTCATGTGGGCTGCACGCCATTGCTACAGGGCCAGGCTGGGGCCATGCTTAGTGCCCCAGGCTACAATGTGCACAGAGCCTGCTGGTACAGAGCAAGCATAAGCAGGGAAGGGAGAGGGGCAGGCAGGGGAGTAGAGGCTATGTTGCAGGGGAGAAGAGGCAGCAGGGTGGAGATGGTGGGGTGCAGAAGTGGTGGGGGGCAGGCACCAGATGTGACTATAACTCCAACCCTGGGTAGGGGCTGGAGCCTGAGCCACAGCAGCCTCCAACCCCTCTCCCCACCCCCACCTCCACATACTCTACCACCTTCCTACTCAGTTCTAAGACTAGGGCCTTTCCCTGCCCATGTTAAATGAGGGAGGGGGGAACCTCATCTTAGAATTGAGTAAATACAGTACCTCAACTGTGGGACCATCCTTTCTTTGCCTGCATTCTTGTCATTCACTGTACAACTCCAAACTTCTGCAGCATGTGAAGCTTGCATCCTACAGACAGCAGTCTTCTTCGCTATGTAATATTGATTCTTCCTCGGAGCAGGAGCCTTCTATTTGTAGAGTGAACACACACACAAGATAAATTAACTTGGAACATGCAACTGTGCGGGCCGGGAGCGACCCGAGCCCTTTTCGCGCTGCACATGGGCTGTGGCCAGCAGCCCGGGCACGCCAGGTTGGAGAGGGAAGGCCTTCGAGCTGGAATTAGGCACAGATGCGTATCGGTAGTTTTAAAGATTGGTTACTTACACCGAGATGACAGTGGTGCAGGCTGGAAAACTTGATTGAGTTGCAGTTACAGACAGACAACACAGACGGTCTCGTGGAGGTTGCTAGGCTCCACGGTGCAGAGCTCCGGATGCTCTGGGTGAACGAGCCACCAAAATAGAAATCGTAAATACGTCTTATAAAAGTCGCGTTCGAAGACGGGAAGAGGTGGGCGGTGGATCAGGCCGCCAAGCTCCTCTGGATCTCACACAGGGTTTCTATTACCCTGCCGTGTACCCAGAGTCCCCACGAGATGGATGTGGAGTCCTCTTCGGCTTGGGCGGAAACTGCTCAAGCCTCTTATATGGCTAACAGGCCAATCGTTAGCCGCCACGTGTGAATAATTTAACACTAGCCAATCACGGGGAACAAATTTGCATACCGGTGGCGGGAACTCTTTTGCACCGTGCATTCCTCTTGCAACATGAGCAATGCACCCTGCAAAAGAAGCTGCAGAAAAGGCGGGAAACGCGTCTTTGCACTGGGGTTTCCTCTTGCTACAGGAAACTCTCCCGTGCAATGCTCTGCAACTTGGCGGGGATAATTCTGGTGCCGAAGCACACACACACAATCATGCCTTTTGGGTCATGACAGCAACCTTTTTTGGCATTTTCTAAGTTGAGTGTTTGGCTTTGCAGCCCTAATCATGTTCTTTGCACATGTTTTGCACATGTGTCCATTCATGCACGTAATTTCCTAAATTATTAAAAAAAACAAAATGGAAAACGCTAGAAATGTTATCGTGTGACATTAATACCCCCATAGGTTATCAGCAGGGTTGCAATCTGTGGATGTCACACATTCCTCTGCCACTTGAGCTAACACAGTAACGGACCAGAGAAATAGTTTAATGGAGGAGTTTTCTGAACTGAGAGAAGATGATGATAAAGAAGTGGGGCTAAGGTAGGCTGAGAGTCTGAAAAAAAATAGCAACATTTTAAGTGACTGGAGGTGAGACATTTTGTTTGCTTTTTGTTCAAGGAATCTTCAAGGAAAGACATTCAAAGAAATTAACACATAATGACTTTGTAGAACCAAAGATTTCTTTAAGCCCTCAATAGAGAAGAATGTGATTAATTTATTCATAAAGAACAGCGGCTTTGTCTTTTTTCATGTGGCTACTATGCATGCTGAAGCTTTCTCGTTTTTCAAATGTGTATTCTTCTGCTAAAGTATAAATAAAGAGAGTAAATGCTTACATAGGTAATAATATCTTTATTTGTTCATTGTAGTCTGTTATTCTGCCTGTTCACAATAGTGAAAGCTGGTTGGATGAATGCTTAAAGTCAGTTTTGGAACAAGATTTTCAAGGCACCATGGAACTCTCAGTATTCAATGATGCTAGCAAGGTACATATATTTTATTTTACTTATACAGTACTGTCTGACCTATTTCTGTAAGACATTAGGGTTTGCTTTTTTAATTCAGTTTGCCACGTAAATTAAAATTGATGCCTCTATATCTTTTTCAGGACAATTCTATTAGTATACTTGAAAAGTGGAAGATCAAGTTAGAAGATGTAGGAATACAGGTTGTCATTGGTGGTCATGATTCACCTCAACCCCAAGGAGGTTAGTAGTTTAATAGTGATTTGACGGCATGTTGAAATAATTTGAATAGCAGGCACCATTTGCTCTTAGCTGAAAAATATTTTAATCCATAGGAAAACATTTAATTAAGAATGAGTAAAGTAGCAACTAAAAGCATTAGTAAAACTGTAATAGGTCAACATTCCTAAGTACCGTGTCCTGGAATTGCTACAAAAAAAGAGTTGTTGTTTTTGGAGGCCTCCATTCAAAGGCACAACTGAACAGGAGAGGCAATTTGGCCATGTTCTTCAGTTTCAGTGGGAGTTGTTTATGGAGAGCAAAAAAGAGCAACAAAAATGCGTAGAGGTCTGGAAAACATGCCATATGAGGAAAGGTTGGACGAACTGGGTTTATTTAGTCTAGCAAAAAAAAGACACTAGTGGGACTTGATAACAGTCTTCAAAAACAAAGGTTGTTATAAAGAGGATGGAGATAAATTGTTTTTTGCTTCCACATGGGCAGGACATGAAGTAACAGCCTTAAATTACAACAAAGGAGATTAAATTTAGGTATTGGGAAGAATGTTCTATGGGGGGGGGGTTAAACATTACAACAAATTGTGTCAAGAAATCATGGAGTCTCTGTCCTTTGAAGTTTTCAGTGCAATTTAGGAAAGCATTTGTTTGGGATGGATTAGACGGAGATGATCCTGCCTTGAGTGGAGGTTTGGACCAAGGCCTTCCAAGCCAATTGCCTTGCATGGGAAAGTGTAATTTGGGCTAGTGTTTGTGCTTTATTTGTCAAAAGGATTTTATTTATAATAGTTACAATGTTTCTTTCATTTGCAATTTCATATTGCAGTACTTGGTGTTTATTTCTTAAAGTATCAGCTCTTAGAGATGAGTGATTACATGAGAAGTCTATCTTTTATTAATTTTTAAGTAAGTTTAAGACTTGCAGTGATAACCTTACAGATATGTACCTATGCACCCCAGAGATTCAGAAACCAGAAGACAATAAAAAAGAACAGCAAATTTATTTAAAAAAAATCATTATTTTTAAACCACCTCAGATCTGCATCAAGATGATGATTTGGCAGAGGTTTTTACAGCCAGGTACCCTTACTGATGCTAACCTCCTCTTTTATCTTGGCTTGGGACTGGCATTGGATTGGTAGAATTACTCATCTACAGTGGAGTTCGAAGCCCGTGGAGAGCCAGAATCCACAACAGTGACCCTGTTTAGATGGGGAAGATTATGATTATTTTTAAACCAGCTTCATGACATTTTGGGGCCTGACTCAATCTTTTTAAACAATGGAGGTTGGCATTATATAGTTTGTCAAATATCTAGAATCCAAAGATGCATTGCTATAATTCTGACAGTTCTTTAATCACTAGAAGTAAATTTATTTTTTATGGTATGCAAATAACATGTAAATAGAAACCAAAGGCACAGTAACTTAAATTGTGGAGTGGCTGGGTTTTTCCTTTTCTGCAGCCCTTGTTGCAGAGCATGAAGATACTTGGCCTTTTCTACAGCCCTTGTTGCAGAGCATGAAGATACTTGGTTCATTTTGTTGCTAGTTTCAGAACTGATTCTATATAGGGTTAAATTTGCAATCCAAGTCAAATATAAAAAAATGGCTCTGGTGTAGTTGTAATTGGCTGGTGATAGCAGATTCAGGTTAAATTAATGATGACAACTACTGTAGAAGGAAGATAAGCTCAGTGTGGTATGAACTGTAAACCTTTTGTGTTGAGTTTTAAACCTTGCTTTCTTTTTCCATAATGTAGAAGGAAAAGTTTTTAAACAGTTGCTTTCACAAGAAGGGGTGGAGGCTTGAAGAGAAACAGAACAAAATGCATTCTTAATAAAGATCTTCTAAAGCTTATACGTAGATTTGTTTATTAAGGAAGTTTTGCATTGTCAGCTAAGAATTCCATCTCATGTCAGTAACCATGTGTTTTTAGCTTGTAAGGTAAATATTTATAGGACTAGTGTGTGTTCCCTGTTGATCCATGTGTTTAGCTGTCATTAATGTTAACATGAATTAAATGCATGCATTGAAGAGTTAGGCAAGGTTTGTACTTAGTATGTTTTCTTGAACTGAGTCTGTTGTTTCACAGCTCATATTTTCTAGACAATCATGGTTAAAATTTACATTCAAACAAAGGAATGTGTTGTTTGAGGCATTTGAAGTCCAGTAACAACAAAGTTTGCCTATAAGATTAATAGAAATTTTAAAATTATGATGATAAATTTATAATAATACATTGAAGGATTAAATATCTAAGGACTGGGATCTTGTAGTTCTCCTGTGGATAAAGAAATTGTTATAATTTCCTCAAGAAAGTAAATGCACATTTTAAAAATTCAAGGAGACCATACTTATTTACAGTTGTAGCAAGCAATGATTAACCCTATGTTGCAGTACACTGACAGTATTTTCAAGACACAGCTCTAATATTGGTATTTGCTGAAGATGTTTGTACTACCTAGTGATATTTACAATAGGCTGACAAATTAAAAGACTTTTTATTTATATGTATAGGGTCTGTCCTCATAATGAAGTGCTCATTAGATTAACTACTTGTTCCACTCAAGGGCATCTTTGGAAAGCTGTAGGTAACGTCCAACTCCTCTGAAGTTGTAAGAATTACCCGTGATTATTTACATGGGCAAAGAGCAGTGATGCCTTTTTCCTCCTCATTAATGTCATTCTTAACTGTATTTCCTTCTTAGTCCATCCTTATGCAGAAGGAAATTAAACCCTCACCTCTCTGCATCTAGTACTCTGTACTGCACTTAGTACTGTGTTAGGGAAAAAATCCCTATATCTCTGTATTGGAATCTTTTATCCCTTTGCATCCAATTATTACCTAATTTGAATAATTATATACTGTGTTCTAAAAGACAACATAAGCATATCACCTGCAGGTGTACCACTGAGATGCTTTTTGCTATCAAGTTGAGCACTGGTCTCTGAAATATGCTTCAGATTATCAGTGCTCGCTTTTGGCCTTCCCCTACCACCTCTCTATTCCCTTTCCTCTTCTGTCTTCTACCCAGTGATATGGAACTTTTCTTGTGCTATTTCCACACTGGCAGATCACTCCTGTCTTTCTCATCAATCTCAGTTCTCTTCTTTAGTTTGCCTAAAGCATAAGAACAGATAAAGTGGAGGGTTGCTCAGGGGAGCACTCCTATGTGCATGAAAAAGGAGTTGCTTGTATCACATGAGCAAAACAGGGAACAGAATAGTATGCTGGTGAAATGTGTACTAGCTGTGTAAGCAGCAGGGTTTGGTGTCAATATGGATGAATGGAAGACTGGAGACAGAGTACTGACCCCAAACAAAAGTCCTGTCACATGCCTGTCATTTGAGAGGTACAGTTTGGAAATATCATACAGTAGTACTTGGAGCCAACTTCTGCTTTCAGTGATAAAACAACTGGTTTGATACAACAGAGGCCCATGCTGAATTCCTGCT